TCATGTAATAAAAATTTTATGAACATTTCATAGTCGTCCAAGAATTTACGTTCCATCATCAGCCTTCGCTTCATGAATCGGCTGCCATTTTTATTAGCCAGCGAAATGACCAAATCTTCGAAAACACGGGCTTTGTTCATCGTCATGAATGCCACCGCTTTCGCTCCTGGCGAGCAGGTGATACTGGGAGTGCAGCTACGCTCTATCCGGCAATAATTCTTGCGTCAAAGTATCGGGATGAATCAGCCAGATATACCGCCACACTCTCAATTTACCTACAGCGCATTATCAAATAGAGCCCGTTGCCAGGCACAGTTGAGCGCGAGTTGAAATTTATCGCCCAAACATTGACCAAGGACAACAGCGCCACGTCACAGAATACCATGGAGGAGAGGGTGGTATCACTCAAGCTCCACTAACTCTTTTAGCTGTTCCTTAAACTGCGATCCCTCCCGCCTGATGAAGCTGTTCAAACGAACCAGTGCCATGCACCAGGTTTAGCCCATATGTTTTCAGCAATTTAGTAAGCGCATGCGGAGATACGTGCGCCCGAGAAATGCACTTAATCATAAAAAATGCAAGACCAAGAGTAAAAGAAAAGGATGCATAGATTGTCGTAAAGATGACCGTTGCAGCTTGAAACAGCCAACGAGGGAGAAAAAAGCGTGCAATCCTAATTTTCATTGCTTCTAAATGTGCCACTAGGCAAGTCGATGCCAGCGATAATTTTCATTTTGCGAATGCTGCCTTTTGGCCCCCCTTTGCCAACCACTCACATGTATCCGTTACACTTTTTAACCACCTGCACATCTTCGTTTCCACAGAATCGGCCAGTTGCATTCAGACTTCGCGATAGGCTTGCGACTGAACAAAGTCCTTAAGAAGGGCGTACATGGTCGCAACCACAACCGATTTCTTAGAGAATGGTAAGCGTTGTCCTGAACGAGCTGCTGGCTCACATCGATCGACTGGCAACACATGACCCTTCAATGCCTGCCTGATGTTGAAGACAGGAGCTTCTTCTTGTGGCCGAGAACCCTGCCGCCGGAAGTGGTCATCCAGGAAAGGCAGCGCATTCTGAAAGAATCTCCCGGCATGCTCGTATTGACTACGCGTGTCCCTTCTATGTACGGCTGGCTCAGGTCCAGGCAGAAGATTGGCCCGTGGCCTCTACTGCGCTTCGGTGCTTCCGCACTGCGGGCCGACGCCCGTTCGCTTCTCCTCAACATGAGAAGTACAATGCAATGTTTCATTGAAAAGCCCCTCTTTTTCAGTGTGTTGTTCGATCGCGGAACATACCTTGGCGGCATTGTTCGGGACTGCATGGATCTGGCTCCACTAACGTGGGAATTGGTGTTCGTGGTGTTCTGGAGTGGCCAGCGCTTCGCGGCCGCATCTGTGCAAATAAATAGGCAACAGATAATCCTCCTGTCTTTCCTGAACATCGCCCTGAGGGGTTAGAGCGTGAAACTGTTAGACAGCGTTCACGCTAACTTGGCCATTGCATACCATGCTGGTTGCCGTTGCCAGTACATCGGTGGTTCAAAGTTACTTCGGCATGACAAAAACCCAAGTATAACTACGCGGCCTTTCTCGAATGGTGGCCCACGAGCTCAAGCGGAAGAGTAGTTACCGCAAGGAAGGTGAGGTTCTTTAGTGTTATTCGTAACCAGCGTAGTTGAGATTAGCCTCCGCTTCTTATTAATCTTTCCGCGCTTAAAATATTCTGATATTCAAGCGGAATGCTTTATTACACGTACGCATACTATCGTCAGCAAACACTTGAGTGTTTGCTCTTGACTGCTTTTTGACACCACAAGTGCAGTACTTGTTTCTGTAGTGTGCGTCATTCGCGTACTCCCCTGAAATAAAAACATGACCGCGCCTTTGACATTCCTTTGCACTCGCCCTGGTACACGTGTTTTCATTATAGTAGATACACTGCGCATGCTCTGGCTTGCTGTCTCATTTAATCAGTGTTAGGTAGGAATTCCGCCAGTCAACCGAGTTGACATGGGAGAGGCCTTTGTCCTGAAGTGGACGTAGTCACGCTCATGATGATGATAATGATGATGGTAGGAATTCAACCATTTGTGTTTACTGTCCTGCGGTACTTTCTTTGTCTCTCTAGGTGGAGCATCCTGAGAACGAGAACAGATCAGCTGGTTCGACAATCTCATCTGCTTTAGGAAGCCATTTGCACTACGCACAAACGCTATGCTTCCCGTGTTGTTCCAAGGATACATCTAGATCTATCATGTACCGGTAAAGCATGTCACATTACCATCTGAATGTCTTGAGTTTCATGTCGCGAGCTCAAAATGTGCTGTTCAAGGCAATATGCAATACAGTAGAACTACGCCACGTTTCATGTACCCTATAGCTTGGGCGGTCTGTGTCAAAGGTTTCATGGACCTCAAGTAAGCAGAACTGCAAAAAGGCTGCCCAAGTTTCAGGCATTGCGAAAAATTTCACGAGCCATCAAATCCATATTTATCGACAAATTGCGATGCTGATCTTTATTTGCCTGAAATTTGCCAAGCAAAAAAGTGTTTTATGAACACTTTTATGTGTTGTTTTAGTACAGCTGACAAGCTTTCCTTATATGCCCATAATTCTGACGTGGTCATAGGGATTGGCGACTTAAAATGGGCAAATTTCATTCATTCATATGTGGGGCTTAACGCCCCAAACTATCACATGATTATGAGGGACGCCGTAGTGAAGGGCTCTGGAAATTTCGACCACCTGTGGTTCTTTAACGTGCCCCTAAAGCTGAGAACACGGGCCTACAGCATTTTCGCCTCACTCGAAACTGCAGTCGCCGCAGCCGGGATTTGATCTCATGACCTGCGAGTTAGCAGCTGAGTACCTTAGCCACTAGACGACCGCGGCGGGGCATGGGTGAATTTCAAAGACACAGTTTTGTTGCCGACCATTGCGTCACGTTGCGCTGGTGTCTTCTATTGGCTCAACATACAATAAACGAAAATAAATGTTTGGTGTACTATTGTTTCGATTCGCCGAGCCAATTCAACCACTTGTCAAAATGAAGGTAACTATTAAAATAATTTTTACTGCCCTTAAAACATTCAACTTTTTACTATCATCCTAACCTCGGCCTTAACACTACAAATATGATCACAACTTAGCTTATTTTATCCCTAGTTATCACCACGAAATCTCTATTGGGCTTAGTTTAGCTAAAACAGCCAGAGATGGTTTCATTACCATTACGCTGTATTGGAAATCCGAAAGAATTATCGAAAGCCCGAAGTGCCTCGTAAATAAAAACTGAGTGTTAGCATCGAAATGACTAATGAAAAAAGAAACAGCTCGTGATTACGTCGTAGATTTGTAGCGTAACGTCCTTAGATGGTGTAACACACGATTTCATCGCTTGGTCAATGGCGGGCCGACCTAGGATGCAGCGATCAAGGCGACTCGAGTTCGGGTGCACACATTCAATGAGAAGGGAAAAGATTGCTTTCGCCTATGAGCAGGCCTAGGTTAAAATATTGGTAGATCCTTAATTTCGCCTTTAAGAGATTAACGCTATAGCTACATCCTGTTACTTTTTCTTGTACGATGATACTCGAGAAGGTTACATTCTGTTTACTACCATGTTGTCGATAAATTTGAAATTGGCTCATGCCAGTAAAGTTTTGACATATGACTTCATTCCGTGTAATAGGTATGTTGCCTTAAACCTCAAGTAATTATGAGTGTGAAATGTTTTCTAACTTGCTATGCTCCCTTTACGTGGCCTTAAAGCCGCGTAAATGGGCTACATAAATGCAGTTAGCTATGTGCCTGTTTTCTTCGATGGCGGACTTTAAACCACGAAGTCGTTTTGATAATCATACGTTTTGTGGCCTGATGGCAATGTGACGCTTGTACCACGCAATATTATTGCAATATTACATGTTGTAGCGTGAAGCCTGCATACAAGACACGTATGTTTTTCGCTACATTTTCTAGCAAGTTCTCGGCACTGCATTTCCTAGCAGACGTGCGACTATCTGGTAAAACACTGCTTGTCATACAAATCGCCTGGTTTCAATTGCCGCTACGGCTCTGTAATTGTTATTATTTATTGTATTCGCATCTTACGGATCTTTGAGTCACGGACAAAATTACATGCTGTGTGGCGTCGGCGTGCGCCGTAGACGCCACTGATAATGACGCTGATGACGTTGAAAAACGAGCACGTTCAAAAACATTAGGTACAGTGTGGCCAATCCCCCTCGTGGGTATGAGCCAAAATCGTTTGGGCGACAAACACATTTCTTTTCTGCCATCATGGTACAGCAGATACCGGCTATGCACATTACGTCAGAACGAAGTAGATGACGCTGACGACAATGAAGATTTTGGCCATGATGATCCCGGACGACGGCACGCTTGTGCAGTGAATGACAGCGCGATATGTTTCGCGATGTATTTCGTATGACTGGAAACAACCAAAGCCCACCAGGAGAACATTTCCACAACTCGTTTTTGCAAACTTAAAGCTAGATCCGATACCACAAAGCAGTAATAACGAACGGAAGACAAAATCCAAAACTCAGCACAAGATACACTTATGAGTCGTGACCGGTAAACGCTGCACATAAGTGTAAAACGCTTGGCACTCATTACATTCGTGAGTGGTGAACGTCACGGGTGATTTGCGGTAACACTGAATTCACAATCTTATTACTTCAGACACTCACATCATTCATTTCAGGGATATGTTGCTTTCGTTCCTCTTTCATAATTTTTATCTGGTTTGTCTTGATAAGACATCTAGAACATTGCGATTTGTGCTGAACTACGTTTGTCGTGTGTTACATATGGTGCTCCCTGTGCGCTTGCGTATCTGCATAGCAGCAGTATTGTAGATTTTTTGATGCAAATATCACCAAAATGGTAACATTTCAGGGTAAGTTTATATGGTTTCATTAAAGACTAGCTATTACTGGTATCTTGGTTGATGCAGCGCACACCGCACATGTGTTTGGCACACTTACTGCCCTCGCATTGTCCTCCATTCCATTCCCTGCCACTACCATTTGTGGTCTAGCTTCGCCCTTTTTCTTTAGCGTCTATCTAGGCGAGTGAAATCGACTATCAGGAATAATTTATTGGGCCATCCCGCCTTCTACCAGTATGTCTAATGTCTTGGAAGAGCTATTGGCGTACTTGAAGCGAGTTCCGACGCACGAACTTCATTGCCTCGATGACGAGAACGTAGATTGGCTTCCGCGGCTCAGAAGGGTGTGTCCGGGAATCACCGTCCAGGAAATACGCCAGGCCCTGGAAGCGACTCCCGACGTTATTGAGTGCCTGCTGCGTGTCGCCAAGCTCTACTGCTGGCTCATCTCGAGGTACCACCTTTGCCCATGGCTTCTCATTCGCTTCGAGGCCAACATGCTGCTGTTCGACCTTCACCAGCTTATACGGGACTTGGCGGCCGCGCTGCAATCTATTCCTCGTCGTCACACCACGATCCGCGTGAGGCACGAGTGTGGAGCGTACTACGCCTGCTTGATAAACAACTATGCCAATCCCGACCATCGGGAAGGTGGAGTGATGTTTTTGGTCCTTTGGCGCGGCCATCAATTCGCGGCTACGTACGCCAAGACAAACGAGGAACTACAAGCCCTCACAACAGCCTTGCAAGTCGTCCTGCATGGGGAAAGGGTGGAGCTGCTTTTGAGACCTCACGCAGATCTTGACGCTGCTTACTTTGCGGGTCGACAGAGCATCGGCGGTCCAAGGCTTTTGACCACACGGTAGATCCAGTAATATGGCATAGCTCTTTTGGCATTTCGACCCACCAGAGGAATGAGCAGACTACACCTTGCGGACGAACAAGCAGGGTAAGACACATCAAGTTTTTGCACTCATTATAACCGACTGCACAAACAAGTAAGCATATACTTTTTACTTTTTCAAGTTCACAAAGAACATCTTCTATCCAGGCTTATCTCTTTAATCATACGCAACCTCAGCTGTCGCGTAGCCCCTATCTCGTTCCGTAACAATGTCGGTGGTTGGATATCCAGGCACACGGCTGCATTTAAGGGAGCCAAGCTCAATAACACCAGTGAACCCACAAAAGAGGCTGTTTATTGAAACTTGAGTAGTAAGAAACTAGAAGCTGGGACCTTTACTGTGACAGGCCTTCTTATCGCTTCGTCCTTCTGGTGCTAAAACCCAGAAGAGCGTTGCTTAATGCACACCTTGGTGCGCCGGCACCGCAAGTTGTGATAATCACACTAATTGGCAATGTTCGGAAAGTACCTCTAGTTCGTCGGTGCCACTTTTGGTCAGTGCCAGTTCGGAGCCACTAACATGCACCCAGGAGTTTCGCAGTTCTCGCTATATTTTCCTTCTATCAGTGCTTCCCGAGCTAGTATCTGCAATTTCATGCGGACTACACCTATTGCGCATCGGCAAGTCTATTTAGTCCTGTGTAGCTTGCTGTGATGTGTAAACATCATTGGTAAATCGGTTTTTCTTCTCGATGCTCATGCACATGATATCAGTGGTCATTTCCTCTAGGTAATGTGACACATTAATAAAGCCAAGCTGGTAACATATGGTTTAAGGCCGAAATGATTGATATGTGGGGTTTAACGTCCCAAAACCACCATATGATTATGAGAGACGCCGTAGTGGAGGGCTACAGAAATTTATACCACCTGGGGTTCTTTAACGTGCACCCGAATCTGAGCACACGGGCCCACAACATTTCCGAATCCATCGGAAATGCAGCCGTCGCAGCCGGGATTTGAACCCGCGACCTGCGGGTCTTAAGGCCGAAATGTTGAACAGTCCAGTCACATAATGCGCCAGCATGGCATTAGTCGTATTAACCGGCAAAAATCTTATGTTTTTATGTGGTTGCCAAAAATGATAATAAATAAAGCCATGGGTGGGAGATCGTTTTTGACTTTATTTATCTTTCATCACTGTCCAAATTTTTTGAAGACGAAGTGATTGTCACGCGAGCGCAGTTTTTTTTTTGTAAGACACAAGCGCGTCTCAAATACCTAGTGAGCGAAGTTCGGGTTGTTTCACTTCAAGTGGATCACGTGATAATTTTTAACGTTTCGCGTCCTCTTGCAAGTTCAACCTTGACTTTAAATAAAATATAGACAGCTTTCTTCCTAAAAACGTGCTCATACATGCTGATTTTAGATCAAGCTAGAGATGTTTTTAATCATGGATGGGCAAGATGCACATGCCTAAGGACATACTTCAGGCACGAAATATCACAAGCACAGAGTAAAGGAACGCCCAACTACAAGCACAAGCAGCACTTCCAACTGAAGTATACTAAGCGCAGAGCCGGCATCACGTGCACAACATACTTATATGCGCGGTCTTCTCACAGCCACATGCTATCCAGCTATCGAACGATCTCTTTTTTTGATGCGCACAACGTCAACGACGTGTCGCATCGGAAAAGAGATTCGTGGCTAAAGTGTGTCACTAAATCAAATACCAACTCGGCCAACAATGACCTTGATGCACATACTCTTCTCAATTCCTGCGTTGGCACACGCCTCTTCTGCTTCGCGTAGCAGTTGGCAAAAGGTTTTCACTTAGTTTTCTTGTTAGTCGCTCTATCCTCCTATATGTGACTGTCGCCATTTACAAGAGAGTCGTCACTACATGAAAGTTTTTTTGACTGTCTGCTACCATTAACTGTTTATTTCTTGCTCTTTTCAGGCAAGGCCCCATCACAAGCTGATGTACTAGTAGCAGAGTTTGTTCAAGCTGAGCATAAGCCTAGAAAACATTCACACGAAGCGCGCAACGTCTGGCATATATTTTTTTCTATGAGGTTGCATGGCATCAGTGTTTACCATCAAGACCTGACAAGAAACTTGACTACATAGGCCACAAGACATCGAACCTCTGCATTCATAGTTCAAGGTCCTCCCTCACTCCTGCCATCCTCATTAAGGTGACAAGGCTACAAGTTCATACGAATAGAAAAGCTCAAGAACTGGAAGGTGCCCGCTTTCATATACTGTATGACTGGCATACAGCGTCGCGAAATATTTTGACCATCAATCGCACGTCATTTAACTTGGAGCAAAAGGCCTGCCAGGCGCTAATCTTTGAGGTGTGTTCAACGACTAACTGAATTCATGTATTGTTGCGATGAAAAGCAGCAGTCATCTCTTCCAGAACATTTCACAGTGAAGCGCAGTTTTAAGAACGTTTGTACAGTCTGTCGTGAAAAACACGTCTGACTCCATTGTTAAAAAATTTAAAACACAGACATCCATGACGTGGTATCATGGACTAGCGACCGGATCATATGTAGGTTGGGAACTTTACTAGATGGACTGACCTTTCCATCCAAGCACTCGTGCGCTTTTTTTATGTATTGACTGAGAAATAAACAAAAATTATTCTGCCCCTTTAAATTCGTCGCTAACACTGTGAATTCACTTGCTCCACAGATGAGCTTACGCATATTGTCTCTCATTACATATTATTTGGTTAAGTTGCACGATTAGTTACGAATATGTTTTTGCGCATTCATTCGCAATCATGCACAATTGACGAAATCCAGCACGTCTTAAGATATTTGTCAATTTATCTCGGAATTCAGAGCGACGTCGGTACAGCTAGGTGCTCGCCGATATATCAGCGCACATCTCATTCATATGTCTGGCAAGGCCCTTCCCATTTGAAAAAATACACTACCTAAACCTGCTTCCAAAGGTCTACACAATAACTGTAGTGTTAATGTGTACTTAAGAATGAAGCGTGATTGGTTGCATTGTATCTTTATGTTATCTCGTATCCCCTTTCTCTTGTTTACGGTAACTGCCGCAAAAGTTGCGGAAGTTAGAGCTACTTCAGCAAGCGGAATTAGGTACACGTAAAAGTACCCTGGGTGTTGGAAACTGATCCGGAATCTCCCAATACAAAAAGTCTCATAGATTGAAATAAAGCATGCAAAAACAAAATAGACCTAAGTAGGTACATAATATTTCTGAAAATACAGGGCGTGAAAACACAAAGAAGAAGGAAGTCCGGACAGCACAAACACCTAAGGCATTTTAAGAACGTATCAAGTATGTATGCGGTTTTGTCACGTAAAGCACTTTCAATAAAACATCTTAATTTTACGAAAATTTAAGTTGCAGCGAGGAAATGAATTGGCGCTGAATGGTTCCAATTGAAGACATTCTCAGTGACTAGATACACTGTTTTGTATGAGAAAGTAGCGCCAGACACTCTTGTCGGGGCTCAGTATATAGTTTTGCTAAATAGCGTTAATTGGTGGGAAATCATTCATTGCAACCGATCCAGAGGGCTTGCTTCAATGCTGTAGACCCGTGTGCTCAGATTTTGGTGCACGCTAAAGAACCCCAGGTGGTCGAAATTTCCGGAGCCCTCCATTACGGCGACTCACATAATCATATGGTGGTTCTCGGACGTTAAACCGCACATATAAACCAATTGGAGCTTGTTTCAAGCCGAACTGTCGCTGGTCTAGTGACGAGACTGGTCACTGTTTTTTTTTCGGCATTGCGTAAATGCAGATAATGAATTGCGTTCATCGTGGTGAGCACAACACATGCTCAGTATAACTGCTTTTACAGCTTCTTGAAGACCTTTATTCGCTTCAGCAGGCGAGCTCTCTGAAAAACAAATATTAACATCGATGTTTGCATACATTGGCTAAACCCTTAGGATTTGAAAACGTTCCCTCACCAGCACTTGCAGCGTATCAAGGCTAGCTGCCAGAAGCAGGAACACACGGTCTTTTGCCAATGACATAAACGAGCGTTGTCCCCCTTCCACTTCAACATCGATGAAAGCCCACTTCCGAAGGATGATGACTGGTACCGGTAACTGATAGCTTCCAGTGACTGCCTGTGGGGCTTGTTGGTATACCATCATGATGCCGAAGCGCTGAATACCACAGTTGCATACGATGAGCACATGCATAGCCGCCTTGACATGTTTTCGAAATCGAAGCATTTCTTAGCGAACATCAGCGACTTTGAGCGTATCTATCTATCTATCTATCTATCTATCTATCTATCTATCTATCTATCTATCTATCTATCTATCTATCTATCTATTTATCTATCTATCTATCTATCTATCTATCTATCCAGCCACTTACGCTTTGGTGCTCTCGTGGCCACCCCCTTAACTTGACGTGAACCAAAATTAGCAATAGAGGGTAAGATGGTTTGACGAATATGACGCACTGGTTAAGACAAGAATAATGTCACAATCCCGTCGCGTACGTCGTCAAACACTTCCCGCCAGACAGTCGCACATGCCCATGGGCGGGTATGTCTGCTGGTATGCCGGTATGTGCCACAAGTTATTGACACTTAGTATCTACCCAAGAACAACGAGAAAACACAAGGACAATATAAACGCACGAATGTTAAGAAATACGTGACATTGGTATCCTCTACCCAACGAATGCATATAATAAATGTCAGGGTCCCAACTAGAATCTAACCCAAGCATTCTTCATGGAATTGAAGCATTTTACCACACGGCTACGCCGGGTCTTGGAAGTGCTTTTCAAATAGACACCAATCTTCGTAAAACGTCAATAGTGCTTGCAGTGCTGCCTACACAGTCTTTAAACATTACATATGTACTCCTTCCATGCAGCCGTGACGTGGGGTTAACGTCAATTGTGGTTGGTTGTTATGCGCTGAAGTTGATTTATGTAGCAGTGTCCAGGAGAAGCATCCTCGCGAGCATCAGCGCGTCACATCAGCTTCTGGCGTTGGTAATACGCACGCTCCAGTTGGCATCGTTGCGCGAGTGCGAACAACTGGTTATATAAACATCTGCAATTCGTCAACATAAGTGTGTGCGTGCCACATTTGTACATATGCTTAGCGCTATCGCATGATGTGTCATTAAAAAAATTGCAACACGGTCACCTTCCCTCCGCATGCTTCGCACAACGTCGATTCCCAAATATGTGGGATAGGCTGAATTTTTCTTCTGAAGTGTCCATCGCTTTTTTTCGTTGTTGTTCCTATTTCTGTTCCAGTCAGCCAGAACGTATTGGACCAATCGATGAACTTCTTGGCCGTCGCAAATTACGAAGCAGATGCAGGCTACATCGACGAAGAAACACGTGTTAAAACCGACCATCTGAGCAACTACTCGCCAGCTTCCTCGAGTTCTATCGAGGTCGTTGATATCAGCGCTGTTTTGTCTTAAATACAAACGCGTATCCTCCTCTGCAAGGTTCCTCGAATGGTGCGTGATTGAGAGCAAGCCACGCATCATTAGCTTATAAACCAAATTGTGTGGGATATTCGGCATTTTACGGCACAGTGTGTTAACAGCGCGAAAAACAAGGAACATCGACCCTTGTCTGCGTTCCCTCTCTTCTCCTTCATTAGTTTTTCACGCTGTGAATATTTTGTGCAGCATAACCCAAAATATAGATGAGAGACGACAGATGAAAACACGTAGTGGGGATAGTCAGGGTGAATAGTGGAAGTGCCTCAGACAGGTTGGCTGACGTTTCGATATGAGGACCTATCTTTGTCAAATGTAGGTCCTCCTATCGAAGCGTCGACAAGCCTGACTGAGGCACTTCCACTGTTCACCTTGACTATCCCACTTGTGCAGCATAAGCAAGACGTTAATTGGCATAAACTAAGCGTTTTCAGCTGACACTGCTTTCTTGCAAATGGATAATGTACACCACGATAAGCATCAACCCTTGAGTGGACGAGTTGTGCAAGAGAAGGAACTCGAGAATAAAAACAAGCGAGAAGGCGGGAAGATTAAGCAGGCACACGCGCAGTTGGTTACGTTACTCTCGAAGAATGGGAAAGTGGAGTGTAGAGACGTAAGAGAAGGTGGAGGAAACGTGGTGCTATACTTTTGCCTAGTGCCACGGCTACGTACTCGTCAGCAAATTTGCCTATACCATTTCCTTTTTTTCCTTCAGGAGTGCAATATATGCTTCAAATGCTTGTCGAAATGAAGCAGGAAACACACTTATAGAAGACGTGATGTGAGTGTCGTTAATTACAGGCACTACAAGCGTACAGAATTATATGCATCTTAGTCCGCATCGCAGGACTTGTGATTGTGCACCTTCACTAGCCGATTGCATAGCCATCGGCATTGGAAACAATAAGGTCCGCATTCACAAACGCTCCTTGACTCAAACTCGACTTCAAGGAATCCTTGAAGGCTCTTTCGCATTGCGATTTTCACAACACGAAAATTCTCAAGGATTCCTTGAGCTTGAGTTTGAGTCAAGGAGCGTTTGTGAATACGGGCATAAGGCAATTGGTGAGATTACCGACCCCCGTACTCTAGAACGTCCCTTCAATCACCACTTCATCTTCACTTGAGAAAGCTCCCTCTCTAGGCACGGCAAGTCACTGCATATCACCGATAATCTGCTGCCATTCTTGAGTAGCGCAGCGTCCGTTTGAGCCGAGCTGTGGCGCAGTGCCCAACACTGTCAAGTGAAGGGTAAAGTCGAGTTGAGGAGTGTTTGTGAATACGGGCGTGAAGCAGTGAAAATCGTCAAAGCGGCCGATGCTCGCATCAGCAGAGCTTCCTCGCGGAAGGCTAGCTCCAGTTTAGGCGTCCCACTATACTCGTTGACAGCTTTTCTTGACATTGGAGCGAAGGCTACGGAGGCGGGGCCTCCGCATATTTGTGTTACTACGCACGTAGTCCGGCAGCTTGCAGCCGATTTCGGTTCCAGTTTCGGTTTTCGCTTGCTTGCTGCGCTAGTGTGTTTAGCAAAATGTATGCATGCAAAATGGGAACGTCAGAGATAAACTTTGATGAGAGTGCATACATGCAGCTAGTTACTGTGCTGTTTATATACTGGTACATTTAAAAAAAAATTTCCGTTGTTGAGAACGTTTTCCCAGCATTATTCAGCCTTTATAACAGTGAAGTTTAGGTTCCGTGTTCAGCCCCGCCGCGGTGGTCTAGTGGCTAAGGTACTCGGCTGCTGACCCGCAGGGCGCGGGTTCGAATCCCGGCTGCGGCGGCTGCATTTCCGATGGAGGCGGAAATGTTGTAGGCCCATGTGCTCAGATTTGGGCGCACGTTAAAGAACCCCAGGTGGTCTAAATTTCCGGAGCCCTCCACTACGGCGTCTCTCATAATCATATAGTGGTTTTGGGACGTTAAACCCCACATATCAATCAATCAGGTTCCGTGTTCAGCCCAGTATATACGGGTACGCGCCACACGTGATCGAATGTTAACGTTTACAGTATTGAGCCCTGGTACAGGCGAAATGGAAGGCCGGTTGCGGCACGATCCGCCCACGGGCCTGTCTTGTTTCAGTTTTGCTGTATTCGGTTTACGCCCTCAAAGGCTGTCAGCAATGATCGGCGCAGACTGCGCCTCAGTGTTCAAGAAGCCTCACAATTGTTGTAGATCG